CCATAGTATTAAAATACAAACTTCAGACAAAGGAAGGGACGCATCAGTTTTCCATGCATAACATACTAACTTCTTAGAGCAGCTAAAAACCTTTAATTACAGTGTTGTTGACTGAGGCTAAGCAAAGATATCTTCTGCTTAAGATTCTGAAGAAGTCGGTCCTATGTTTCATATTATTGCTATAACCACTGGGGTATTTTCTATTTCTGCAGTCTGTGTCTCCCAAGAATTAAATTCAATTTAGATATATGAATAGAATAAATACGTAAATGATGTGGATTTGGAACTGCCTCTACATTAATTTCATGGTTTTATTCAGGACAGACTGCGCACTAATATCTATCGCCAGCATGTTTTTGAGACGGCTGACTTTTCAGGCATGGGCATGGCCTTAGTTAGCCCACAGTCCCTATTAGCCCTTAGCCGTCTATCAGTTCTGGCTAGCTCTTAGCTCCTGATAGCCCATTGCTGGCCCTTGGCCTCAGCTAGTCCTCAGCCCCTAATAGACCTTAGCTGGCCCTTATCCTCGGCTAGTCTTTGGCTCCTGATAGTCCTTAGACTTTGCTATTCCTTAGCAGGCTGTTAGCTCCTGCTAGCCAATAGCCGGATCTTAGCTTCTGCTAGCCCTACATACCAGTTGAACACAGTCAGTCAGTACCAGGCTTCCTCGTCTTTTGGCTACATTGACTCACAGAGGCTCTCAAATAAGATAAGTACCCATAATTCTTTCTGCGTAGACAGATCCTTGTCCTGTTCATCTTCCTCATGTCTGCACTTTCCTGCCAATTTTTGTGATTCCTGCCTTGATTGTTAGCTCTGACAATACAACTTGGGTTTCTGGTGTTGCTCCAAAGTAACAGGTATGTACCTGTAGCGCCTCCAGTCGGTGATATAGTGTCTTGCTACTCAAAGAGCCGCAAGGTCCCAGTGGACTCGTGTAGGAAGCAGTTGACACCTGATCTCTTTGGAGAGGGAGAAGGAAGAATGGCAGAGAAACAGACAGAGTGATGCATGAATGGAGCAGATCAGGTCTGCTTCCTCTACCTTCCTCAAGCACAACAGAGATGCACCAGAACTATCATCGTCCTCGTTTCTGCTAAGTGGTGGTCCTGCCAGACGGAAGGATTTTGTCACCTTGGGAACTTGCCTCCTCAACTGGTGGCTGAGAATTGGGTGTGACAGAATCCCTGGCTGGATCTCACCCTGTGTTATGCTGGCATCTCCATGACCAGTCTGCCTGGATGCACTGCTCTCCCACAGCATCCCGTCACCACGGCAACACCATACATGTGTCTTCAAAGGTTGTTTCGCCGTCTCTTTCATAAGAGAATCAAAAATACCCCCCCCCCCCAAACTTGCTTTAAGAATGCTTCAGTAAGAGCATCTGCACCATGTGTAATGGCTAACATGAGAAAATGTCTGGATGGTCGCGATCTGCTAGCCCTGAGCCGCAGGGAGTCTGAGGGACATCTGTCATTGTCTGTGGAGTCATAACACAGACCAATGTGTGGTCTCCTCAGCCAGAGTGATGACGGTGGGGGTCTATGCCAGCCGTTTGCTCACAACAAAACAGCTAGTTGCTCCTGGACCAGCAGACATTCATAAGCCTTTCAGAAGTCATTGAAGCACATGCTGACTAAAGTGCTCTTCAATAAAAAAACCATCCTAATAAAATAACTCATCTTCATCATCATCATCATTAGGAGCCCAAGCAGTGTTAGCTGATGGATCACTATTATTATTAATGATAATAATAATAATATAGCATATAAAACATATTAAAAAATATTTTTCTTAAATAAATTTAAGCTCTGTGGGTCTGGGTGTGGATCCTGCAGCAAGTCAGATGAAGCACTTTTCCCTGGACGAGTGACAGGTTTGAGATCAGGCTCTTTCAGGCTTCATGCCTCCTGCAGCTACAGACAGCAGGCAGATGTAACGTTTTTTTTTAGACATTCAGTATTACAGGGCAGGGTAATTACATTAAGTCTTGATAAGAAACAGGTCCCCAAAACAGGAAATAGACATTCAATCATAACTGTCACATAAATAACTGGATTAAAAGGGGCTCATTTTCCCTCAGCCCGTGTGGACAGAAATGACAAATGAGCCTCGCTGGATAACACTGAGCTTTCCATCATCCTCTCTTCATCAAACGCATTAATATCCTGGATCTGGGTATTTTTATCTGCAAGTCTGTGCTCTGAGATAAACAAATAACAGCCATGCTCAATTTCATGTTGGAAATCCATTGACAATCTTGGCACTAATTACACCCCTCCTCCCCCAACATCTATCACGGTTGGCAGAACTCAATGGCGGTTGGTACAGATCCGCTCCAAGCCCCGTCCCTGGGTCAGCATGGGTGCCAGTCTGCCCGCGTTCCTCTTCCACGATGGGCCACCTCCCCGGAGGCCTCATTGGAGCACAGATGGAGCCACTTCGTTCTCCATCTTTTCTCCATTCACTCCTCCTTCCCTGTCTCTTGATCTCGGTGCATCGCGGTGCGTTTTTGCTCTGTTTGTTCTGGTGTAAACTGTTGAGATATTGTGCAGCTTTGCGTCCATGTGACAGAACACTGTCAGGGCGGGGGTGGGGAAGGGGGGGGGGGGGTGGTTCAGAGCGTCCATCTGCTTCAGTCGTGCTGTCCCTGGGGGCTTCACTGGGAAGCCAATCAGAGCTGGGAGGCCAGGCGGAGATTTTAAGTTTCATTAAATTCACAGAAGTTAACTTGTGGCTGCAGTGTGGGTATAATGCCACAGGAGCGGGTATAATGCCACAGGAGCGGGTATAATGCCACAGGAGCGGGTATAATGCCACAGGAGCGGGTATAATGCCAGATCCAGTCCATCCTCAATTAGCCTTGTTCAGGGTTACTTTGTTAGTCAATGTGGCACATAATATAGCACCTTGTAATTACACCAATAAGCCTTCTGTCCTGCATACTTCACCATCCCTTCCTGCCATCTTTTCTTCATCTCCATCTCTTCCTTTCTGACTGTGACACTACAGTGCTAATCCATGACCTACCATGTCCTGTAATTCTCTCAGAAAATGGCAATTCAGTGCCATTTTTATTTTCCTAAAGGGGAGCGAATGCGATAACAGTGACACAACAATGACTTCATTGATTAGACGGCATTAAGGAGGGGACGCCCTGCTTGCTTCTCAGAGTGACATGTTCTGGTGAACAAAGATTCAGAACCCCGACAGATAATAAAAAAAATTCACAGGGACCCTTGAAGGATCTTCTTTGTTTTCTCTCTCCTTTTTTTCTTTCAAAACTGAATTATTGACAGTTTAAACAAAAGCTGCCATATTCAACTGTGCAACAAGCAAAGCTGGTCTTCTGAATATGTTTAGTCCTGCAGTGTGTTTCAGTGACTGAATAGTGCAGGTAATTAGGAAGTAGATATTTGAGTGGTTTAATAGCGCCGGTGTTTTTCTGGAAATAGCCAGGAAGTGGAAAGATGTCCCACCATTTACATCCCAGTGTGTAGTCACATTTACTGTAGCAGAAACGTTTTCTAGAAGAGAATCCCAGCGGTGCATTCCAAACCCAGTTCCTGTGTTTAACTCCGTCGATCTTCAGCCCCTGGGAATGGCGTTAATTCTGCCAATCCCACAAGCTGGGGGCAGTGTGTGGCTCAGTGGGCTAAAACTCTATCCCAGTGATTGGAAGGTTGCTGGTCCGAGCCTTGTTGTTATCGTTATCATGATGAAAATGTAGATGTGCCCTTACATTGCTCTGTACAGCCTTTGCAGGTAAGCATGCTCCTGTGTTCTGTGTCTATGACATGTCCCTTAACAAAAGGCCTACACAATAAAATCTGTGCACCTTGTTGCTTAACAGAAAACACTGGTATTAATGATGTCATGCAATGAAGATTGTGATTGGTTAAAGAAGTGAAATGCAAGCCACTCCCTTGACACAGAGACACGTCAAAATCAGAACAGGCTAAGAGAACTGACTACAAGTTAAAGCACAGAGTGAATTTGGTTGTAAGGTATTACTTTGACATCACAGACCATCATTGCTGCAATTAGACACTAGTTCCTTGAGCCTTTGTGCTGTATCGTAGAGAGATACGGAAGCCTAACTAAGACACACTTCCGCGCCTTGTGTTTAGCATGCTATTGGAAGCCTGAGATGCGATCGGCTCAGTTTTAATATGATGTTTCCTGCATCAGTTCAGCACCACATGCTGTAGTTCTTGTCCAGTCGGGCTCCTCAAGGTCACATGTTGGTGGACAGACGTTACCGTCATGGCCCGCCGTGACCCTGGGGACTTGGTCGCTATGCAATGCATGTCCATATGTTTCTTAGTCCTCGCCATTTTACGAACGGTCCTGAGCTAACATTTAGTTTCCCGGAGAGGACAGACTTCATAATGGCTCTGGATAACATATGCTTCTAATCAGCTTGTTAATGATTTGACTGAATGGCTCTTGACTGTGGTACGAAAATCCAATAAAGCAGCCGTGAGCTACTCACAGCTGACTTGAGATGTAATTCCTCTTCACGGCATGTAAATCCACTGTCCTTTATGAAAGTGTCAGCACATTTTAATGATGAATTCATTTTGCTGAGGCCCGATGCATTAAGTATTATGTGTTTGGCCTCGTTGCCGTCAGTGGGGTCCCTATAGACCTCTCTCTCACTTCCGCCTTGCTGCCATGGTGTCATGTGACCCACCGTGCGTAAAGATCGCCGTCTGCTTGGCGGGGAACCGTGTGACAGGACAATGCTGCCTAGCCGGACTCCAGCAGAGTCTGACATGAGTAACAAACAAACAAAAAAAAAAGCGAGAAAGGAATCTGTGTGACAGGAAAGAGAATATTATGCTGAGGGTGGCTCTCCGTGACCCCTCCCCCCCCCCAGCGTGCGTGCAAATGGGGAGTAACTTAGCCAGATCTTAAGCCACATCCTGTGGGGAGCGTGAGAGGGAAGATCCATGCAGGTGAGAGCAGACCTGACAGAGTCTCCTTTCATGTTTCAGTCCTGCAGCTGCTGAAGGAGGGGGCTAACCCCACCCTGCCCACCCCCTCTGGAGGTTCCCTGCTGCACCTGGTAAGACATCTACAGTGACGCCGTTTGATCTACAGTAGCCATCAAAAGTGGACACATCTACTGAAATTCATTTGTTCCTCAACAAGATAGCGACCCTAAGCAGGCTGCGAGGTTATGTGAGTATTCTATCATCTTGTGAACAAGGAAGTACATGACCTGGCCCCCACAATCCCCCCACCTACACCCTGTGGAGCTCCTTCAGGACTGATGAAGAAGCTTTCCAGACGGCAACATCTGGAAGCTGGCTGACAGATTGCCAAGAGTCTGCGATGCTGTCATCACAGCAAAAGGGGGCTATTTTGAAGAGTCTAAAATTTGAGACAATTTTGAGATGTTCACTTCAGTTGGTCATTGCAATATTTGATATGTATTAATTCATTGCCTTGAGGCCTTTTACTATGAGTTGAGTAACAGCTAAAATAGAGACAAATTCATAAAAAAAATCAAAGCAAGTGCGTGCAAACTTTTGACTGGTACTGCATGTGTTCATCTATATCAGGGTTCTTCAACTCACGGTCCTCGAGGTCCGAGCCCTGCTGGTTTTCCAGCCTTCCTTTACCTGTCAGTCAGGTGTGAAGCCTCTGACCAATCAGAATCAGTAATGATTAAACAACTGCCTGGGAGAACTGAAAACACGGCCTGGATTTGGAATCGAGGTCCAGAGTTGAAGAACCCTGATCTATATGAAACTTACCCCGTGACCCTTGGTTATGCGGCCGGTTACTGATCTATTGCGCCACCTACTGCCAGTGAAGCAGCACAGCAGTGCTGCCTGCATCATTACCCATCTCCCCTGCTGCATGGGTAACATGCATGTAGGCTGCGCTTTCTTATATACTGCAGCCTTCCACCCCCATTTTTAATCAGATCAACTGTGTGCAAGAAAGAAACAAACAGGAAATCCAGATTTATGTATTTAAACAAACATGGCATAGAGGATGAGGCTCTGAGTGTCGATCACACGATCTGATGGGTCTCCTGTCATTGCGTCTGCATACAGTGTCTTTATGTTAAACCCTCGGGAAGCTCCAGGTTGCTGCAGGGGCCGTGCTGATGGATAAATGCAGGCGGCTGCACATTCATTAATCCCCCCCCCGCTACTCTCCGCAGTGTGCTCGCCATGACAACGCGTTCGCGGCCGAGCTGCTGGTGGAACGGGGCCTGAACGTGAACGGGCAGGACGAGGAGCTGTGGACGGCGCTGCACGTGGCCTGTGCGTGCGACAGCACCGACGTGCTGCTCCTGCTGCTCCTGGTGAGGCCTGCTCCTTCTCCGCTCATCACCTCCTCACCTCTGCCAGCGGGGGGGTGAGGTGCTATTCTGCAGTGTAGCAACTTCACCATCAGACTCGTCCTCTTAATGACCCCCCCCATGTATTGGGGGACCGCTGATGATGATTTTATCTTTTTGCGCCTCGCTGGTCCCGTTTGAAGCGCGTATCTCTTTCACAACCCGACTTCAAAGCCTGCTCTCCCTGTGTACCGCCGGACCGGCGCTGTTTGAAGCTCAGGCCTGGAGGAGGTGCCGTCGCGTAGCTTTGCAGCCCCTCATGAGTGCCGGCTCTATTCCCCGCCTCTCCGCCCCCCCCCACTCCCCGGGTCTCCTGCGGTGCGGATTGGCTGCCGGCATTGTTAGTGTGCGCTGGTGTGTGCTGGTGTTATGTACACGCTTGGTGCTGGGAAAAGGCAGCCTGTCATTCGCACGATGGGTCCTGACCTTGCTGGGTGAAGATCCCAGCAGGTTATCAAATCTGGGTCATGTCACTCTGTCTCCCATCAAAGGTTCGACGACAGTCGCCTTCCCGATTATGCACAGATGAGCGTCTCCTCACCTTGTAACCGTGTGGCAACAGGACCATTGCTACAGGGCTGCCTGTAACCAGGATGCACCCGGACAGGTGGCTCTGTGCCAATATGACATCATCTGGAAAATGTTTGGGGGGGGGGGGGCGGAAGCTTGTCTCCCCATGTCCCTGGGTTAGTTTCTAATGCAAAAATGCTGGGAATCTGGGTGAACAGTGGGGGTGTCCTTTGATGTTTTATGAGCCCTGTTTAATGTCTAAGGCGAGTGGCTCTGCAGACTGAGACTTGCCTGAGATTTGCGCAGCTCATTTAAATGATCGAATCGTGGATGGATGGATGGATAGATAATAATAATGGCACTTTTACTGCAGCTCAGAGAGTTAAGCCCCTGTGTCTGTACTGAGAAGGTCGCCGGTTCGAGCCTGACTTTGGCAGAATAGTCACATATCCGTGGGCACCGGAGCAAAGCCCCTAACCCCCCCAGCTCCACGGGCCTCGCTCAGGTGGTGACCCCCGGCTGGCAAGCTCACTCTTACCTACCTGTGTGTAATGGGGGGCAAGATGGGGTAGATTGATAAAGATTAGCTGTATTTTATTGCTCCCACACGGGATATTCAGGTGTACATTCCCGTTTTATGGCCCTGTCCTTTACGACTCCACTTACACTGCCATTGTGTCGGCCAGCAGGCTGAAAGTGAACTTCCAGGCGTGACCTCATTAGCATGACAGCGAAGGTGTGGATTTGGTGCCTCTGGTGGCCGAGTGGTGTTTCAGTTGGTCCCCATCTTGCTCCAAAAAGTGTCCCATCTGCTGAGGTATTCGGCAGCATTGTGCTGTACCCTTCGAGCCGCCCCCCACCCCCCATACAGCGTGAGAATTGGATTCTGCTCCATTATAGCATAACAATATTATGAAAAAAAAAATGAAATTCAATTTGATTGGTTTTCCTCCAAAATGCAGATTATAGCATGAGCATTGTGTCCATGGTATTGAAGGTGCTAATTAAGACAGATTCGTTTGTGTTGCTGAGTAGCCATGCCATTAATTGTGCTGCGGCAGTAATTGTTATGCGGTGCAGCCTGGCAAACACTGGGAAGGGCGACTCATTTGTCAAGGACGGGCTTTGCTATCTGGGCCCTTTATGGAAATGCACACCTCTCTCACAGATAGGGTTTAGGGGTAGGTGGGGGGGGGTTGGGGATTCTCTGGGGTTTAGACTCACTGGCCCATCGTCGCTAATACCCTTATCAGCAAAATTCACCGCATGAGTAGCGACGAGTCCTGATCTTTGCTTCCCCCGGCCGCACGGTTTCACCTCTTGTCAGCTGAGAGCAGGGCATTGTGGGAATCATGTTGTATGAGCGCACTGAACCGTGAAGGCTCCGGCTATCCGCTGCAGAGGGCCTGCATGCATGCTGGCAGGCCATCTGAACGGTTAAACACTCTAATTGCAGCAAGTCACCCGTGTAGGTGTGTCACTGAGGTCCAAAGCGCTTTATGGCCATTGTTCTCATTCTTAAAAACACAAAAATAGCCAAACAACAATAACATCATAGTTATTATTAACAAAGACGGTTGAAACAGCAAAATGTAGGATGCTGGTAACAGTGAGGCGTTTACCACACTGCATGGTTATATTAAGCCATGACCAGTGGTAGTGGATCTCTGTCACCTCAGATGTCTGTGTAGATCCATCGCACTGCGGTAGAGCAGGGATTACCACAAGGTCAGAGGTCAGCGGTGGATCTCCTCTTAATATGCCAGAATTCGATGGCCGCCATCCAACTGATGATTAGCTATGATAACAAGTAGAAGTTTATCTCTGGGTTTATCACTCGCCCCTGTAAATGTGGTTGCGTCACTAGGTCACAAGATCATACGCTGATTCTCCAAGGTCAGCTTTAGGGCGCACTCACACTTGGCCTGGTCGTCTCGTACCATGCCCGATCGCAATTGTCCCGTGCTATCGCACGGCAGAATGGAATTCATGATTGATGTCCTTATTTTGCGCATGTTTGGGGTCGTTTCAGGCACAATGACACATATAGATTTATCAAGTATGCAACAAAGCAATGTTTATTTAGTTATGCAGCACATACAATAAGAAGCCCCACATTTTACCAAATTTCTGGGTTTGTGCAGACTAATGCTGCAGAGGACACAAGTACTTAAAAAGTACTTCATTTTTAAAGCTGTTCAGTATTACATTTCTTTAGTACCGGTACCAATTATACTATTACAGACAATACTAACGTAATATATTGCTGACGGTAACCATCAAATCGGAAGCATGGACTCAATATGTCTCAACCACTGCCAAAACTCAATTATACCCTATATCAGAATTGCATGCATCATGCTATACAGAGTACTAAAATGTCACCTAGTTAAATATGATCTCCCTAGCTTCAAGTCAGTGATTTATTTAGGGAATCTTATAATATAGCAAGATCTTATAATACAGCAAACAGGTTACGTTAACATCATCAAACTAACATCTGCATTTACAGGTTATTATGCTATACTGTGTTATAAGTAGTTAGATAATCAAGTGTAATGTGCTGCGTGGGAAGTTTTTTTATGTTTATTGAACAGATGGATGGAAGAGCAGCTGTAACCTTTATGGTGAAACTTTTCTTCTTCATTTTTTCATTAGTCACCCCCCTCCCCGCGCCATTTAACGGATCGTATCCATACTGATCTCCCCTCCCCCCCATGTCCCCAGTGCTCTGCCCCCCTTGCCTGCATTTTTAATAATGATAAGTGCCCAACAATATGGGTGAATATATACTTTATGAATTAAGTAAATAATATTATCGTTTTCCGTGTAACTAAATGAATCATAATGTGTCGCTTGGCAATATTAGGGTGTGTGCTGGAGTAGAGTGAGGCTTAGTTTATTAAGATTAATAAGTAACAATTTAAATGCATTTCAGATAAATCTCTTGAATATGAACGACATAAGTGTGTAATTTACTACGAACAATTGGCGCCCTTGCAGTATCGGTATCGTGATGCTTAAAGTGGTATCAGTATGCCGGTCATAATTTTGGTATCGCGGCAACAATACTGTAGACCAAAGTGATCATTTGCCACCATGTTGGTTGTTATTGACCAATCTGCACTCGTTATTGTTTTCGCAGCACAGTTTTGGGGTGGTGGGGGTGTATCACTAAGCCAGATTTCTCAGCCTGGTTAACTTACTTAAGCCAGAGGTCATGATTGCTCAATAGGAATGCTTCTTATCTAACCTAAACTCTATTGGACAGACATAACTTCTAGCTTAAGTTAACCCTGCTAACTTAGAAATCCTGCCTCGTAGAGCACCTCCCCATACAGTCTACCAGATACAGCTGATGGTGTCCAGCCCTAACCCTATCCACAAAAATGCACACAAAACTGCCCAAAATATTTGATAAATAGTTCAGCTTAAAGCAGGAATGGGTTGTTGTATACCTGGTCTAAACACTATTTCGTGCTAAGCTCCGGGGTCTTACTTGAACCCACAAAGTCATGTGATCTTTGGAAACAAATGTCTCAAAAATGAGATGCGTTTACTCTGCCTCACAGAGACAATGTTAATTGCAACGCATTAAGGTTAAGAGTTAACACTATTCTAATGACAATATAATCTGTTCACGTCTATGCTCTTCGCACAAGTGCAAACACACTCAGATGCACACACACATACACACAAAGTGTGTGGATTTAAATTAAAGATTCAAGATAATTATATACATACACAATGGTTAATTAATGATTGTTTTAATTATTACTCCATACAGATAGGTGTTTGTGCTTGAGGTCGTACCTTTAAATGCAGAAGAGGCTTTGGTTCTTTGCCACATGTACAGTGTACTGAGAAGGTCGCCGGTTCGAGCCTGACATTGGCATCATTGACGTCACGTCTGTGTTCCGTACCCAGGTACTGTACGCTTAGCGATCACACTAGATGCGCACCATGCCTGAGTCCAACTAACTGGCCCACCTCTTCAAGCGCTCTCTACCCGGGAATCATGTGAGCGATGATCGTAGCAGAACTGTCTCTGAAGTGCTTAGGGTGCCTCTCCTGGACAAGTCCAAGTCTATCACATGTCATCAGATGATAACATCTACCTGTAGGAGACTATGCATATCTGATCAGACTACTGCATGTGTCCAATAGCGAGGAGCTGGTCAGGAGTGGCTAGTTAACCATGTGATCTCTCAGGGGAGTTCATTCTCCTATTTTACCCTGGACTCTATAGGTCTGCAGAACAGGCCTGTAAATCTCACATGTTATACGAGCTCATTAGAATTCATTTAGCAGTATATATTCAGAAAGGGACCCCTAGTTAAATCACACACTCCTTATCTTAGTAGGTACAGGTCTAATCATTATGGCATGTTGTTACTTTTTATTTTTTTTGTGCCTAGAAAGTCAGCAGATTTAAAAGAGAGCTTGAATGAGTAATGGGAGTGCGGGGGGGGCTGCTTCTGCGGTGCGGGGGGGGGGGGGCGTGAGGCGTGGAGACAGAAGGGAGATGGAGGCACGGGGAGAAACAGCTGCTTTATCAAACGGAAATCTGTTAGCTCTCTCAGGCAGAACCAAGCTCTGCTGTTTGTTCATTAATATCGCAAAACTATGAATTAATAAATATTTATAAGTCTCTGCAACCAGGATAAGTGGATGAAAGATGGATGGGTGGATGGATGGATGGATGAATGGATGGATGGATATTTACATGTGTTTTGTACCCGTGTAACTACAGTATATAAAATTAATGAAAGTCACCGATGTGATTAGAACAACGCTAGCATATTTTGCAAGTGATGTGCCAAATATCCCAAAATGCCTTGCATTCTGGGTGGATTAATTGTTCACAGTCGTGTTTTTATGAAGACGATGCAGCTCGATCCAATGAAAAACATTCAACACAGTGTGTCGACCGCCTCATGTTTCCTTTTATTTAACCTGTGTTTGTTTTGAAGGCAGGAGCGAATGTCTTGCTGCAGGATGTGAACGGGAATATCCCGCTGGATTACGCCACGGAAGGAAGTGAGGCCGGCCACATCCTTTTACAGCACCTGGAGGAACACGGTAAAAATCCCCCAGTCTGCTCATTTGTGTTCTGACCTCCTGGGGCGGAAGGCCAGGGATGAGAGCCCCTTCCAAAATAGCTGTCACTTATGTGGTACGTTCAGTGACAAGATGACAACAGCCCCATGAAGACGGGCACCCTCCGTGATCTCTTAAATAATTGAAATTGTTTACGATATTTCTTTGAGAGAGACCCTCCCCTGCCTGAAACCAGCATTTCACCAGGCGCAGTTCAGACATCACAGCTGGTGGCTGTGAAAATGCCATCCAGGACATCGTTCTGTTTCATAACGGCGATGGTAAAGCCACTAACCAGATGGTGAATTGCAGAGTGGAGCTGTAAGCTTGCTGGAACATTTGGAACGTTTGGAGAGGGGAGGGAGAAGCCTTGTGGTCTCCTTTGAGCTTTGACCCACCCAGGGGTGTCCGAGGAACAGAGATGTCCCGCGAGAGATAACGTCAGGGTTCGTTAACATGTTACCATGGTAAACATCAAAACAAGGGGGGAGCGGTCTTCCTGTTTGGCGATGCCGCTCTGAGGCCACCAAAGCACGGCATTATGGGAACGTGCTCTTCGGGGGCCATCAAACTCCGAAACACTGGTGTTCGTCCAGCTGTCACCCAAGTCAATGCTTTTAAAATGTCCTTCTCATTGATCATGCAAGAATACCGGTGGTTTTTGGAATGTCAGGCTGGCAGGCGAATTTCATCCCGTCAAAACTGTGGTGTGTTCTTATAAAAGGGTTGATGCAACGCTTACCCCAGAAGACCACCAACACCGGAAGGTAGAAAGCAGCGATGAAGTCCATAATTTTCCATCTGCTGCATGTAAACTGGGAGAAGGCTGTTGACATTGTCTTTCATTTAGGTTGCCATAGTAACATGTTAATCTTCAGAAAGCAGGAAACAAGGCCCCTCGCTTCAGTCTTAATGGCCAAATGCCTGTTTCTTGATGTGAGTGGAAATAATTGAGATGCTGCAGGAGAGTGGAGATTCCTGCATGTACAGCAGGAGTAGCGCAGTGTGGATGCCAAGTCCGGACAGACTGTGACCACGGACCCTGGGCCCCCCGCAGGTTTGGATGCCGGCACCGTGCGGCATGTGAAGATGCAGGCGGCGAGCGCGATGCTGTTAGACGTGCGGCAGCTCGTGGCCACGGGGGGCAGCGTCAACCAGTGCAATGACGAGGGCGTCACCCTGGTGAGCATGCCGCCTTCCGCTCCAGCGTGTTCACAGCGGACAGGTGCTTTTCCTTAAAGGCCAGCAAATAGTAGCTGAATAAAGATTTCAAGATATTATTATGAAGCAAATAAGCAAGGGCACTGAGGACTGAAGAACTCTAATCTGATTGGTCAGCCAGATAAACATTATCCTTGGCATAAAGGCAACAGAAGCCTCACACTCTGCCAAACTTGTGGGACTGAATAGCTGATTGACTTCTCTTGGGCTTTAATAACAGTGTTAATGTATTAGGGCTCCTCCTTTTGATGGGTGTATTTCTCTTTGTTTAGGCCATTGTTTTTCTCCACAAATCAAAACATTGTCATGTTTCTCAGTCACACCCATCATCTTGCTAAAGGAAGATAGTCCCATGGCGTTTTGTGTGCATTTATTTTAATATATTTGTTTGTATTGCCGCCCCCTGCTGGTGGGCCTGAGGCTTGCACAGTCCTCCAGCTCATTAGTGTGTTTCCTGACCTCAGCTACACATCGCTTGTGCCAGTGGCTTCAATGAGGTCATTTCCCTGCTGCTGGAGAACGGGGCAGAACCGCATGTGGCCGACAACAGCTTCTGGACCCCTCTGCACCTGGCAGCCAAATACGGACAGGTATAAAGCCGTAAAGACCTACTCTCAGCTCTGCGTGCTCATACACACCTTCAGTGATGTACGTCACCTGTGAAGATCTTATTTATGGAGTCACTTTGTGTCCAGTGCCTGTGTTCTACTATCTACAGCATCTCCTACTCTTTCATTGCTCTATGGCTACAAATTAGCAGTCCTGTCTCAGTTATCCAGATTTTTGGGTGCCTCCCTATTCAGCAGAGTTCAGGTCCAGAAAGTACAAATCCAGACAGAGATTTTATTCCCACCAACCAGCTGAGAATTAAGTGTGAGTCACAGTCACAGAGGACTCAACTGGTTGATTGGAACAAAAGCATGGTCTGGATTTGTACTTTCTGGACCAGAAATTTCCACCTCTGCTGTTCAGTGCCTAAACTGTTACACCGAACAGGGGCGTAGGAACCAGGAGGGACTGGGGCACCTGTACTCCCCAATATTTAATTTATCTTAATTGGTCCCTCCCTAATAAACAGAACATTGCATTGGAGTTTAATCCCCCCTCATCCCCATTATAAAACTCTCTCCTATGTCCTTGACACCAAACCACTTTCCAGAGGGTTTCCATATATTGCAATTAAAATATCCTTGAATGGTCAGGTAGGGGCCTACTGTTCTGATTAAGTGTCTTACAATCCAAAGGATCAGAACCCTCTCCCTGCTCCTCTGCCCATTGTGTACATTTATCAAGGTAACTTATATTAGATATATTATGCAGCTGCTTAAAGAGTGAGATTGATTTCATTGGGTGGAATCACGTACCGTGAAATTCTGCTGACACGGTCAAATGTGTGATTACGTCCCTGAGCCAGTGCTGACTAAGAGGAATTTGATCACGTTCAAGATCATTTCTCTTTCGTTATTTCCGTTCCCCGGGGTACTGTTCTTCGCCGCGGTGTGTTTAAGATTCAAACGCGCTCCTAACGCGGCTCAACCTGTTAGCGCAGCAGAATTCTGCAGCCATGGACGAAAGCGCGGTCTCCCTCACAGGATCCGCAGTAGCTCTGTGGTTCCGCAGTAGCTCTGGGGACTCGAACCCACAGCACTCGGCGGCGTGTTTACCGTCTGTGCCCTGTGTTCAAGAGTACCGAAGAATTATTCCCAGATGCTGCAGGTGTCCTGCGACCTTGAATGTCTGCTGCGCGGTCGACGGGAAGCACTTTAATCAGATCACAAGTCAGGGATGGGTCCTTCTTCACAGGCAAAGTCCGCAGATTAGTTTTCAGTCATATGGCCGTGTGGTCTTGGCGCTCTGCCAAAGCAGAGGATTATTAAGCTGTGCTGTTATAGGCCAATTTATTTATTTAAGGCTAAGATGGGGAAGACATCTGGGAATGTAGCAATAATTCAGTTGTCAATTGGTGAGCTGCAGCAGATTTTCACTGCGGCGGCCGCGGCTTTCAATATGTCTCAGCCCAGCAAGCGAAACTGGCACTGGAGTTATCCGATTATGCATTCTGTATACTCTGCTTTCTTTGCCTCGCTGTGTGTCTCTGCCCTTGGGCTGACTGCCGGGCTCCTTCCCAGAATCCTCAGCTCTGCCTGTACTGCATGTCTGTGCCCTTGGGCTGACCGCCATGTTCAGTCCCAGAATCCTCAGCTCTCCCAGTACTGGAAGGCTGTGTTCAAAATGTCTACTTGCCCAGTATAAAGTGCACTATATGGGGATTCAGCCATTTTGTATACTGTAAACTGTAAAGTTCATTCACTATAGTGCACACTATAATGCAGTGTACAGAAGCTGTACCCTACATCGGTCGACTTAGACCATCATGCCCTGTAGCCTGTCACATGACTTTCGGAACCATATTTGAGAAACCTTCTCAGTCTAAACTGTAACCATTACTGTTGTTAAGTAGCTCACTTGTGAAATACTTTGCACGTGAGCTATAACAACAGTCCCAGGGCTACCATTGCCCACTGCTTTAAAAACAAACGATTATTTTAATGTATTTGACTGTTTTACATGGGTAACATTAATTCACAATTAATACAGTATATTGAATATTAGTATAAAACACCATAATTGTAGCTGGAGTCCCCATCATGCTTGTGTAGGTGGATACAGTGCAGTTTGGTATGTTTTAAATAAAGTTAAGTGTGCAGAGATTTGTGTTGTAAAGCTTTTATTTTTGTTTCAACGTTGTGAAGACATATGTCAGTTACAAGGTGTACTTAATCATAAATAGCAACGTTGGTGTCCATGTTCTGGTGTGTTTTTTATTACAATAATGAACGAGTAGAAACATTAACCCAAAATATACAATAAAGAAAGAAGTAGGTTTATAGTTTAACTCTAGAAGGAATATTTTGGCATTTATGCAGCAATATCCCCTAGTGAGTGTTCTATGTAGGGAACACTATGTAGTGAGTGAGTGAGTGAGTGAGCGAGTGAGTATGTGAGTGAGTGAGTGAGTGAGTGAGTATGTGAGTGAGTGAGTGAGTGAGTGAGCAAGTGGACATTTGGAACACAGCCCATATCAGTGTCCTTTTACAGACCACCGGTTTTTTTCCCAGAATCCTCAGCTCTCCCTGGCTGCATGTCTGTGCCCTTGGACTGACTCCTGGGTTAATTCTCAGTACCTTCAGCCCTCACTGCCCTATGACTTTGGCTTGAGGGTCAGGACCTCTAGAGTGTGAGTCAGCTGGACTCTCCCATGCAACCCCGCCATGGCTGTAGATTTGCTGTGTCAGGTTTCACTCAATGTGCCCCCCCTCACCACCCCACCCCATCTCTTGCAGTCCAATGTAGGTCAGCAGGTGTTCAGCCTCAGTAACCACCCCCGTCTCCCTAAAGGATTCGTTGATCTAGTGTGGAGCTGGTGGAAATGCTCAGAATAGCAGCATTTGTGGCTGGGAGCCAGAAGCCCCCCCGCCCCCCACCCCCCCCAAGCCCCAAACTGGCAAAGCCTGGAATGACAATGTGAAACCAGAGACTATAGCATGGCTGCTGCTGCTTTCTCAGAACCCAGGCCAAACCTCACAGTCCACCATGGGACGGGTTCATGGCCCGAGTCGGGGGAGTGGGGGTGGGCCTGGCTCTCGCCCCGCTTATACCTGAGATCGGAGGACAGCTGGGTTTTGGGGATACAGGTGATGGAGGTTCATCGTGTACCTTAAAGGATTTCTGTGCCATGGGATAGCCTTCAGTGTAATTCCCTCTCTTCGTGGCAGTGGCTATTTTCAAACCGGCGAGGTGTGAGCTGCACATGTAAGTGATTCATGCATAGATGGAAATGTGGTTTTAAGAACTTTAGCGCCCTTAACGTGTTTCATGTCTGGCACCTTCCTACCACTTCCCGTAAACACGTAATCCCGATTCCGCAAAGTGTTACAGGGACAGACACACGTGCGACGTGGCGACTCTACGATCCAGCATAGCCAGTTGCAGTGCCAGTCTGAGCTCTGAATCTTCTTTGTGTCGTCAGGCAGGGAGGGGCATCTACCAGACGCACATCACACATCGATCATTTATAGGGATGGAGGCTGGGGTACCAGCAATGGGACAGAACTATATAAATGAAATCAAAGAAAACCAGGGCCAAATCAGGGGAGGGGCCTGCACTGGTCAAGGCTGAAACCTGATTGGCCACCTCCTCTGTCACTCACTGATTCAAAGTACCTCATTGGCTAATGATAAGGTTGGCCCCACTGTATGAATTATGGCCCTGTGTATGCCCCCCACCTTAAAAAAAAATCCGTGCATCACCTCTACAGGAGAGATTATGAGGGAGGGGAGTGACGGCTGTATTTTTTCCTCCAGACCGGCGCTGTGAGGCAGCTGCTGACCCACCATGCGGACCCCACCCTCCTCAACGGCGATGAAGCCAAGCCTTCAGGTGAGGGGCCCCATCTGTTACCTTCTCCCCCCAGGAGAAACGAGCCTTGATTGGAGCACTGTCACACACATCACTGTCACCTACCACCTCCAAACCCTGCAGTCGCTCTAAATGGTCACCTGGGGGCAGTCAAACCCCTAACACACCTGTATTTCATTTTTGTGAATCAGTTGCCACATGCTAAGAAAATAACTTATATTTATTTTAGTATAAAGTTTATACATTATTGGGATTTAATTGGTATAGGAAGATGTATGGAGACATTTTTTTAATTTTACTTTTTATGCCTGATAAACGAGTCGATATAAAATGAATTATAGAGCAGTAATGGCATTAAACTATTAAAGAAGCTGCCTCTTTGTAATGATCCCCATAATTAATAATTAAATTAAATTATTAGCTGAGGCAACAACCAAAATATACTACAGGTATTGCAAGTATTTTTTTCTTAGCACAGAGTAAGCATAGAGTAACTTCCCTATGCTAAATAAACTTTATGTGGTAATGTCTGCCAGAGGGGGGTCCTTACATTTTCAGATTCTACTTTTTAATATGCAGCTGTAATGGATTTGCATGTTAACATGTGCTCACAGCGCGCCTTACCGTGCGGTCACCTCGATAACGGCATGTGCAGGTCCACGCTCTCTGCCTCCCTGAATCGATAACTCATTCGGGCTGCGGAATTGGCTCAAAGGTGTCTGCAGTAGTGTGAAGAGTATTAATGAACCTCCAGACTATCCCTTAAGGGGGGGGGCGGGGGGTTGGTACCATTGCCGTGCCACAGACACCTTGTTTATACCGCAGTAAAACTGTAGGTTCATAGAATATCTTTACTGACACTGAACACAATGAATCTGTGTTCATACCACATGTTACAGACATGATCACAAAAGGTGCTTTTCCACTGGCATACAGGAACCGCGCCGCACCCAAGCCGTACCGCGAACAGGGACTGGTTACGGTGCGGTTCCAGCTGGCTTCGGTTTTCCACTGCAGAAGGGTCGGTTCGGTAAAGGTGTTACCGGCTTTGGAGAGCGACAGTGACGCTTATTTACTGTTCACACGGTGTACATCATGATATGCTATGTGCATTTTTTTGTTCTTTACTGTGTGCTAATTTGCGCTAGTGCGTATGTGAGAATCACTGTCTTATGTTAGCATCAAATGCTAGCAGAATTAGCATTCACTGCAAATTTGCATTTCAAATCCATTCAAAGCTGTTGTATAGTACTGTTTTATGTATGAGGTTGGAAATTTTTAGGTTCTGAGTTATCAGGAATGCATTAATATATTGCGAGTTGCGAAACTACTAATAAGTAATAATATATAGAATATGCTATGTTTTTCCTTTAGGTAATCCATGCTTAATGACACAGATCACCGGTATCTCTGTGCTTCTCATGCGACCAGCTCAGTTCGGTCACGCTTTCAGCCCTGCGACCAAACACGGCCATAAGTCTCCATCTTACATTGTAGGTACCATCAGTGCCAGTTGAAGCCCTAGCTGGGTGCCTGTGTCTCCCAATACGTTGACTGGCACTGGATCCCACGGTATAACACAAGACAGGCTCTATTGATTTCCGTCATACTGATTCCAGAGCAGGAATTTCAGAGCCTGTTTCAGAGCCGTGACCTCATATTCGGCATTCAATTTCACTCTCAGCCCAGTAGGGGGCGTTGTGTGCGTAACTCCCAGGGCATCAACAGCAGCAGATGCTGTATGTCTGCTATAATGTTTCTCTGTGCTCCTGGACTTTGCCAGCTAACTAGTCATACATCACTGTCAACACTGGACTGGCCTGACCGTCACTGTATTTATTAATTCCATCTGAATGCAGTAGCTTGCTGTTGTCTAGACCCACTGCAGTGTGCTGGTGGCGTGTCCACCCCTCTCCTCCGCCCTGGCAGCGTCCAGGTGGCACGCAGACGACGCGCCGCACGACGTGCTAGCTGTCCGTTAGCGACAGCTGTCCCGCTGTGGCGCTAGCCCAGCTCAAAAAGACGTGCATATATTTACCATCTGAGGACAATAACGGTAGTGGGAGCCTACAGGCGCAGGCTGAGGTGTCCCTGTCCTGGTTTGCAGATGTTGCAGCCTCCGACCACATCGCAGACATGCTCCTCAGGGCTGAGGCCTGCTGGGAAGAGCGGCTAAGGAACCCTTCAGCGCCTCCTCTGGTGGCAGAGGAGGATGACAAGGAGGCAGTCCAGGACGTATTCACAGCCGTCAGGAAACTGTACGGTTTGTTATTACATACAAAGGATGGGTGCATGTCAGTAATGCATGTCGACAGTGGTGGCTGTCTGCTGTGGTTCTGCTCTTTGCCATCTTATAGATTGATCATCATTCATTTGATGTCTGTCTGAATGAATTTTGCCGTCAGTCACCCTTTTTTGCGTGTCGATTGATCCAAACTCGGTGACTCTCGCGACTTGTCGTCAACCCCGTATCAGGAATCCCCTAGCCCTCCCCATCTCTAAGCGGGACAGTCTCTTCGAGAAGGACGTCATGTTCCGGGACGTCCCGGGGGCTATGACCCCACAGCCTGCCCAGGAGAACGGACTTGATGGCCACTTTCCCTCGGGTGCGGGGAAACTCGAACAGGTGAGTTTGGCGTCTCTACAACCCAGCATTCGAATTAGTCACCCGAGCAACAGTGAAATACCATGCATGGGCAGTGTAACTAGGCAACATACCATACATGGGCAGTGTATCTAGGCAACATACCATACATGGGCAGTGTATCTAGGCAACATACCATACATGGGCAGTGTATCTAGGCAACATACCATACATGGGCAGTGTATCTAGGCAACAGAACATCAATGTGGTGGGTTGCATTTATTTATCTACCAGATGCTTTATCCAAAATGATGCTCATATTAGAAAACCGGGTCAGTTAATCCCTGGAGCCCAATGATGAAATGGCATTACGAACCCTGAGTTTTGAGCTTGCGACCTTCTGATTACCACATAGCATCCTGACCTACTGCGCCATACACTGCCCCACGCTGGCCGTGGCGATGTACAGTCTGATCACTGTCAATGGACTGAATCAAGGTAAATGAAGCGTAAATAAAAGGCCACATCGTATTTCCGAAAGCCGAATGGATGTAGAAGGCAGCCAATTAACATTCAAAGTAGCTAAATATCAGGACTCATCAGGAGGTGCGATATTTCTGGTCACCGCATCTTGAGCGACATCTTATTAACAAGGCTTCTGCCAGGCTAGTTATGCAATTCTTGAGGAGAATCAGATTCCAAGGGTGTGCAGTGACATCATTAGCACAGAGAGACCTGAAGTGTGACCAGCGAAGCAACGTGCGCTGTGTGCGTGCGTGTGTGTCTGTGTGTGTGTGTGAGCAGGTTTACCTATCCTTATGGGGACACAATGTCCCCATAACGTGATAAATATCGTTTTTTTTCCCCTTATGGGACCAGTTTCCTGGTCCCCATAAGGGAAAACTCTATTTTATAAAAATCGGTGACTGCTATGAAAAAACTAAAAATGCAAAAACTCTTGTATTTTGTTAGGTTACTTATGGTTATGGTTAGGGCAGGGTAGGGGTTAAAGTTGTCATTAGCGTTAGCATTTTTCCCATTGAAATGAATGAGCGGTCCCCATAAGGATATGTTTACCCTACGTGTGTGTGTGTGTGTGTGTGTGAATGCCTCATGTTCCTTCATGGATGAAACTAAGTGATTGCAGACATGATAAGGAGCTTGAGTGGATGAGGGCAATATGTTATGAAAAATCTGAAGCTAACAAGCCAGACACAGGCTGTAGACATTGTCATGAACGCGCACTGAAAACACGTCATACTTTTGTACGTTAAGAAGACAGTTGAGGGAGTTTTGGAAATAAAACATGGCTTTGGTTACCAACATATCTGGGGTCTTTCCCTAAAAAGCAACATTTTGGCGACAAGGATGGAGCTGGCAGACCAGTCTTGCTAACTTGCATCCAAAAAAACAAACTTGGGGCACAATGAATCATGGGATGGGTCTCGTTTGGTGAGGATGCAACTGTTGTGTCCTTGATATTTGGGGCGGAGCAAGAAAAACATCTGGGGATTTTTGCTGTCCTCAGTACTTCTGTTTTTAGTATTGGAACTGGTCTTTGGCAATGGAAGATGGCAGGAAGTGGGTATGCAAGAACACAAATATAGTCAAGTATGCATATTAAGAAATACCCAAGACCGAGTTAAAATTTACCCGAGTGCATGACAAGACGGAATGCATTCATATGTGGCCTCGAGACTGGACCAGAGTACCACAGCTCCGGCTGGCAGTGGCAGGGGCCTGATGCTTAGGTTTCGCCTGAGTGATGGAACCAGGCAGTTCCTCGCTGTGCTCAGATTTCTCTGCTGCTCCTGCATTCAGGTGAAGCTGGTTCCTCCGGCACCCAGCGATGATCTGGCCTCTCTCAGTGACCTCACAGACAGCAGCCTGCTCTACGAGATGCAGAAGCGGTTCGGCAACGACCAGATCTACGTGAGTGTTTGGCAGGGGTGCAGGAACCAGGATGGATGGGAGGGGGTGTGCCCCCAAGTATTTAATTTGGCTTCATTCGTCGTCGCCCCCCCCCCCCCCCCCCTCAAAAAAATAGACCTTTAAGTTATTCAGTTGTGTCTCCCCCTAACATGAAACTATCTCTCCTATGCTGTTGGTGAC